AACAGCTATAACTTTGTTAACTTAAATGGAACCCCCTGTATTTTTTTTACTCTGTCGTATGCAGAATGAAATTTCCTTTCAAGCCATATAAGCACTATTAGGATTGCCGTTACTATTTTTAGAGATATTTGCAATTTTCTATTTTTTGGCCAGTTTTTCTCGTATCAGACCTGTTGTCAAGTTGGCCATGACCAGAAACACTCCAAAACGATTAAAATAACTTGACATTTGTCAAATTATTGTTATACCTGTAATAGTTTTTGCTGAAAATTTAAATGAAAATGCCTGGGGATCGTTTAAATTATACTTATGAGGATTATTTTAATTTGTTTATTTATGAAAAAAAAAGCAGATTCTCTTCATGTTCCTGAAATTACTTTGTCACATTTTCCATGAAAACTGTTGCTGGAACAGATATCTCTGTACAACGTGAGGATTTGCATCACACAAATAGTGAATGTTGTGAAAATTTAGTATACCGTCTCTAGTAAAACAACATTCATCCGTATAAAGCTCCTTGCTTGTAAAATCAGGATCTTGTGCTGTTTGATGTCGAAAAATATGCCAAAATTCCACACAGCCACCTTTTGTACATGAAAGGGGAGTAATAATTGTTCCTGCAGTACACGCCACACGGTACTTCTCGGCAAATGTCGCGAGTAATGTTGCAACACAGATCGCACATGCACAAGATGCACAGTATCGATATAAAACTTGTAATTTCCACTGTTACACGTGCTATGAATCGTGTTTAAAGTGTAAAGTTCAAATATGATCTGTTTTGCTCTGGAAGTGTAGGAATTATTAGAAAAGCAACAAAAACTATTTAGTCGAGTCGGTATCTGTTTTAAAAGTAGGTTGTATGGATGTTTCATATAGTATCGCTAATTTTTGTCGGTAATAGTTCTAAATATTACGTAAAATGATAATTGCGATATGCGCCCGCTGAAAAAGTTCTGCATAATTGTTAGCCCAAGAAAATGTAAAAAAAAAATAAAAAAGACGCATTTTTCTCCCATCTTTTATGTATAACTCGGGGAATATTGACATTAGAGAACATAGTTAAAGGAAAAAAGTTTTGTTTTGATTTTCTCTTCAAAATAAAAGTGGTCCGACATTTTTATGTGCATTATTGTTGCTACAATACAGTATAGAATAGACCGGAAAAAAATTCGTGAAAAAAAATGTTTTTTTCATGAATTTATTTCAGACCTTGACTTTACATCCATCCCGAAACAGATACCGACTGGACAAATTTCGATTTCCATGGCAGTCACTGTCTAAGGCATTTCAAGACGCAGATAATTGAGATTATTAGCAGACGTACGAGAACACTGTTATACCTTTTTTTAATCTGAATGATATGAAAAATTATAAATACTTTGAAATAGGTAGATACAGGTGACCCTGAAAAGGATGGACAACGCTTGACCACAGGTTCCTTGGATGAAAACAAGACTATTTAGCCTAACTTACCTATATACAAAACTGCACGCCTACTGAGATATAGCCTTCTAAATATAGAATATATAACCTATTTTTTTCAAATAATTTGAAAACTATTTTTCTTAGAAACTTCAAATAACGTGGTACACTTATTTTTTTAAATAACGGCAAGGTAAATATAGAATTTAGAGAGAATACATGTACAGGATGTTCTATTTCTAGTGCCTATGCGCCACTGGCTATCCCGTAACTTTTTTGTGTGTATGCCAATGACGACAGAATTTATACTTTTAAAAATAAGCACTATTTTACAAGATTTTTTTGCTCTTACAAAATTTCGATATCGTTTATGGATTTCGAGTAAAATTCGCATATTTTATACATTAAATATAGGCAAAAATTCCGATTTATAAAAAAATAATTTATAACTGCAGCCTCAAAGCAGGGAATAATAATGAAAAAACGTCACAATAAAAAAATAACTACACATTTTTGGTATTAGTATTATCAATCAATAAAATAAAAATCAACACTAATCTTTTAAATAAACAATATCAACTAATAATGTAAGAAAGTCAACATTAACATTTTAAATAAACTGATATTTGTAATCATATTAAAATAATATTACAGTAAATGCTCAGAGTTACTTTCTTGTTCTTAAACGCAAATATTAGTTCTTCGAAAATTAGAAATTATCCAATAATTGCGCATTACCTCTCATCATAACATTAATTTCATGTATTCTTTTCCATATTCGTTTTCTGTATTTACTAGTTATTTTAAACTGTGGTCCTCAACGCTCCCCAAATGAAATATAATTACATGGGTTTAGGTCCGGGGATCGAGGTGGCCATTTTAAAGGGGCATTATTTCCTCTACCTATCCACCTGTTAGACCTTTAATAACCTGTAACACCTATCTGTACTCTGTATTATCTGTAACCTGTAATAACTGGCCTTTTAATACTCTATTAAAGGAACTTTTTGAAAGCCAACCTCTGCCACTAAACGCCTTTTATTTAATTGAGGAATTCCTTCGACCCTTTCCAAAATTTGTTCCTCCAGCTGAATAATTCCGGACGTACATTATCCACGATTTAATGTTTCGGGTAAAAAACGTCCTGTTTCCCGAAGGCGTCTCTCCGCATTAGCAAATTGTTTTGTGATTTGGAGTTCTTCGATTAGGAAATCTTTCGGCACATGTTCGAACAGTAGTACAACAATTTCCTTCACAATAACCCAAAACTACTAACATATCAGTTTGTTCAGCAAAAGTATAAATTGCAATAAAAAACAAAGTAAGCTACAATTAAATCACAGCTAGCTTGACACAGAACCTTTTTAATTATTGTTATGAATTTGTTTCTCTGTTATATGGCACCTCGTACTAGAATGTTCTATTTATCTTATGTAAATGTGTAAAAAATGTCAATTTTACTCGAAATCCATAAACGATATCAAAATTTTGTAAGAGGCAAAAAATCTTCTAAAATAGTGCTAATTTTTAAAAATATCGTCATTGGCGGACATACAAAAAGTTACGGGATAGCCAGTGGCGCACAGGCACTAGAAAGAAAACATCCTGTATATGTATTCTCACCACATTCTATATTTACATTGCCCTTATATAAAAAAATTATCTGTACCAAATTTGAAGTTTCTAAGAAAAACAGTTTTCAAATTATTTGAAAAAAACTAGGTTATCTGTTCTATATTTAGAAGGCTATATCTTAGTAGGCGTGCACTTTTGTATATAGATAAGTTAGGCTGAATAGTCTTGTTTTCATCCAAGGAACCTGTGGTCAAGCGTTGTCCATCCTTTTCAGGGACAACCTGTATATTTCAGAACAAATACCTCCTGCTGAAGAGCTGCAACATGTGATACAAAAGAGACATCATAACTAACATAATTTGCTTATAGAAAATGAACATTAAGATTGGTAGTGTTATACAGCCAGCCCATAGTGTAGCTAAATTTTATTTAGTTCATTTAAGCCTGCAATACACAAACTATAATAGTCTAAACTTATTTCTAGGTCTTAAAATAACATTAACAAAATACAACGGGAAACAGTGTTATTCAGACAATGAAACAGGTGTTAAAAATACTGTTCCTTTATACTTGTTGCAACTCTATTTCCTTCATAAATTAACAAGATATGTCAAAATTGAGTCCAGTGAGTCACTTTGCACAATTACAAGTATTTACCGAAACATTTTTTTTTTTTAAATCCATCTACTTAGATATTTTGAAAACATAAAAGGTAATAATCTGTGCATGCTCACCAATGAATGCCAAACTTGGTCAAGCCAAACGATGTATCAAAGGAATTAAAAAAAGAGTAGTAATTATATTACGTATTAATTTAAATCCACAATTTAAATTCATAAATAAGATAATTGCTACAAAATACATCTGGTAAGTTGCCAGAACCTTCACGTGCACATGTATACAATTCATACTCATAAGTACAAAACAAATAACACTTCACTGGTTTATATTCTTCTACTTCCAACTAGAGTGCTTTAGAAATTAATTTAAATAGTAAGATACATACATGTATTTTAACTTTAAACAAATGTACTTTAAATAAAATAGGAAACTTCCCGTTATCAGATACAGATTGATTAGAAAACACTGCTCATCTCGAAAATCATATGGACAATTGAATAATGGGTTTTTGAGCTAGATGTGAATAACAGGACTTACAAGGATAATATTATCGAAATCCACCCTTGCATAGGAATGGCAAGGGGGAGGATTTGAACAATTTTGTGAGGATATCTCTAACTTTATGTTAAAAATTTTTCTATTTAATTGTTTCCTTCTTATTCGATATAAAAAAGTTATAATATATAGGTGATAATACAGGATGCTGATTTTAATCTATTAAACTTTAAGGCGAGAATAATTGCACTTGTCAGTTCCACAACAAACTGTTTTCGAGAAACAGGGTGTTAAGTCCCAAAAAAAATTTCATCAACAGTAAATACACTCTGAAATAATACAGATGTTGGAACATTTGTTTTCAGAACTCAAATATCTCTATTATTTCAGAGGGTATTTACAGCAACTGATATTTTTTGGGAATCTTTAACACTTCGTCTCGTAATCTCGTAATTGATTAAAATTTCAAAATATAAGATATAGTGCTATTATTCTTGGTTATTCCATTCGCTCCCAATATTTGACAGATAAAACTGAGACACCCTGTATATAACAAAAAACATGTTCACATATTCACGATCGGTATTATATTCACACAAGTCACTCGTGAATGCCTCTATTTTTGACAACATTTTGCACTTCAGTGGATGGTAATTCACATCTGTAAACACCGGTACATTTGCATTTAAGAAAACTCTATGTGACATCGGCAATTTTTACACCTGTACATTTGAATTCGAATGATCTTTATGTTTCAGTTGGTGCTGTTTCTTGTAATCCCTGTATTCAGTTTGGTAATCGTAGTCATTATACTTGTACATTTGAACTTGCAAAGGATCATTATGCTTCAGTTGGTGTTTTTTGATAACTTTTCTGTGTTTAGTTTCGTAATCACAGCTAGTTGTTACACCTGTACATTTGAATCTCCGAAGGATTTTTATGTTTCAGTTGGTGTCGTTTGACATTCTTCTTGTATATACTTTTGAAATCGCAGTCATTACACCCGTACATTTGAAGCTGTGAAGGATCACTATGCTTCACTTGGTGCTTTTTGATATCTTCCTTGTGTTTAGTTTCGTATTCACAGTCATTACATCTGTAAATTTGAATTTGCGAAGGATCTTTATGTTTCAGTTGGTGTCGTTTGACGTTCTTCTTGTATATAGTTTTGAAATCGCAATCATTACAGCTGTACATTTGAACCTCTAAAGGATCATTATGTTTCAGTTGGTGCTCTTTGATATCATCCTTGTATTTAGTTTCGTATTCACAGTCATTACATCTGTAAATCTCAACCTGAGAAGGATCTTTATGTTTCAGTTGGTGTCGTTTGACATTCTTCTTGTATATAGTTTTGAAATCGCAGTCGTTACACCTGTATATTTGAACATGTAAAGGATCGTTATGCTTCAGTTGGTGCTTTTTAATATCTTTCTTGCATTTAGTTTCGTAATCACAGTCATTACACCTGTACATTTGAACCTGTGAAAGATCAACATGCTTCAGTTGGTGCTTTTCGATATCTTTCTTGTATTTAGTTTCGTAATCACAGTCACTACACTTGTACATTTGAACCTGTGAAGGATTATTATGCTTCAGTCGGTGCCTTTTGATATTTTTCTTGTATTTCGTTTCGTAGTCACAGTCATTACACTTATACATTTGAACCTGCGAAGGATCTTTATGTATTAATTGGTGTTTTTTGATATAGCAACTGTACTTAGTTTCGTAATCACAGTTGTTACACCTGTACATTTGAACTTGTGAAGGATCTTTATGTTTCAGTTGGTGCCGTTCAATATGATTCTTGTATTTAGTTTTATAATCGCAGACGTTACATCTATACATTCGAAACCGCGAAGGATCTTCACGTTTCAGTTGGCGTTGGATGACAATGTATCTGGTTTCATCATCACAGTCGTACGTTTGAACCTGTGAAGGATCCTTATGTGTCTGTAGGTGTTGTTTGATATAACTCTTGTATTTAGTTTCATAGTCACAGTCTTTACATCTGTACATTTCAATCTGCGAAGATTCTTTATGTTTCAGTTGGTGTCGTGTCAAAAACTTTCTGTATTCAGTTTTGTAACTGCAGTAATTACATCTGTACACTTCAACCTGCGAAGGATCTTTATGTCTTTGTTGGTGCTGTTTGATATAACTCTTGTATTTAGTTTTGAAATTACAGTTTTTACAGCTGTACATTTCAACCTGTGAAGGATCTTTATGTTTCAGTAGGTGCCGTTTGATAACGCTCCCGTATTTAGTTTCATAATTGCAGTCGTTACACCTGTACATTTTGACCTGCGAGGGATCTTTATGTACCAACTGATGTTGGATTAAAAGTCTCTTATTCACTGATTCGTAGTTGCATCTAGCACATTTATAAATTGGCTGTTGTGAAGCGTCTTTATTTGTCGAAGAGTTGTCTTTGGTTTTATGGCAATACTCATCACATTTGTTTGATTTTTTGTGTTTATTGAAGCTAGTCCTCAACTTCGTTTTGAAATAACAAAAGTCGCACTTGTACAATCGTGCATCGGAGGCACTTTTGTGTTTCACCTGATGCATAACAAGGTCGGACCTATACTTTGTCTTGTAGTTACAGAACTGGCATCGATGCAAATGCATTTTCGAAGAATCTTTATGTCTAAACTGGTGCCTTTCAAGTAGTTTTTTATTTTCAGTTTCATATTCACAGGATTCACATTTATACAATTCCGAGCCGTTTTTGTGTCTTGCATGGTGTGCCGCAAAACAGGTCTCGCTTTCAGTTTCGTAAATACATTTATCACATTTGTATAATACTTTGCGCTCCTGCTTGACTTTCCTATTACATTCGTTTGCTGATCCATTCTCATGTCTACAATCGCTCTTATCATATGGTCCAATATCGGAGCTCAGCATGTCGCTGAAAAAATGTAAGAATTTAATATGTGTTAATCGTTTAACAATATACACTGATTCTATTGTATAATACTAATGTAAAAATAGTCTTTTTTTACCTCTTTTCTCTATCTTCCGATTTTATATCAACATATTCTTCTTTAATTGCCAATTCCATTTCGTTAATATCAAATTCTTTGTGCAAGTTTTCAGTTTTAACAAATAAATAACACGATATATCTTTTGAACTTCCTGGGTTTGCATTATCACAATTTTTTTCTTCTACTTCCATGCAATGTTTTAGGAAACTGTTGTGGGTATAAAGAGAATCACAGCACGTCTTACATAAAATGTGATCTTTGACGATACTTCCAATCTACAAAATACATTTTTTTTAATTGTGAAAAATGCAAGCATTTAATAATATTCATACCACTTCAGGAGCCAATTTCTCAATAGCTTCAAGTTCCTCTTCACGTATGCACCTAAACTCACTTTCTACTGGCTGCATGCACAATCGACATATCTTCTTGTTGTCTGAAATATCCATTAACTCGGTTCTCTTTTCCTTCATGTAGATTTCTCCTAAGTCGAGCTGTACCATTTTTTCGCTAACCACATATGGAATAATTGTGTTATGGGTATTAAGACATTTAGACTTAAATTCTGATGCTGCATATAATTTTCTTCTGCAAGCGTTACATATAACCTCTTTGCTCTCATCATTCAATTTCTAAAATACATGCAACATTCATCAAACGCAATGAAAATAACTATGTCAAAAAGCAACAATTGAGTAGTAAAAGGATTAGTATTCGCTTTGCACGTGTTGACTCTGTTGAAAAGTGTTATGTTAATTGAGATGGTAGAATCCAATACATTTCACGACTTACCAATTTCAACAAAAGATGATGTAGAATGTCTCTAGTAGCGTTGTCTATTACTTTAAAACTTATATCAGTTACAGTTTTAAGGCAAAGCCTACAGAAAATTTCCCGAACACCACTCATGACGGCAATTTTCTTTAAAACGTAAAATAAGCACCGAAGTTGGGTATATACACATTATAACCTCAATTAACATCAAGTGAATAGTTATGGGTCTTCTTCTTCTTCTCGAATCGAAACAACAAGAAGGTAAAACATGTTTAATGTAAATTATACAATATTATATTAGTTTAAGTAACAAATTACCGCTATTTCAGGCAGCTTTCTTAGATCGGAGTGCGTTCACCACACAGTGCACCCTGGCGGCGGACTGCCTAACTTAATTAGAAGTAATTTTACAAAATTAATGTTTAGTAACCATAAACTTGGAAGTTACTTACTTATGGAAATTAAATATACATACAAAATAAATCCTTTACTTACCATGTTTATTTCACGTTGATATCCAAATCGCATATTAGCTTCGAGTATATACTACTGGAGGTAGCTTGCCATTGCGAAAAGTGTGGTTGTGTGCGAGAGAGACAGACATGGTGTCTCACTCCAGCACGCACGCAATTGGTTGGAAATGAATGCTCGCGTTCATTGGCACCCGTCATTGAAGTGAAGAATATTATAGAATGTTAATGATATACAGGGTAGCCCATCGAAAACGTACCGCGCGCCATTATTCTATGGCTAGAAATTGGCCTCAATGATTTGGGATCGAGGGGGATTATCCCTCTTTATCCTGCCTCATCTCGTGTAGG